TAGGATTGTATCTCTCTAACAGTAAAACTGTGTGTGTTTGCGTGTGTCTGCGTGCGTGCACTGTTGTTGCTGTCAGCTGCTTGTCTCACTACGCCTGAGGTCTTGCCACAGGGAATACTTCCGCCTGTCATCTTCACTCAAGGTAAAAGCAAACCCCCCTTAATGAGGTTCATCTTATCCTCCCCAAAATACATTTTCTTTTGTTTCAGCACCAGTACCATCAGACAACTAAAAAGTAAAAGGAATTCCTCTGTTATGACATGAAAACAATTGCCTTAAGCTGTTAAAAAATACTATCCATTTTACAAGCTAGAATTGTCAAATGTGTATGATTTAGGTACTCGTTTCATGATATAGTTTCAGTTCACTCTGCTTGATGTAGTTGAATAAAAGAGTAATAAAAAAAGATTCATAGGGATAAACTGATTGACATCAAAATATGTTTGCCTTTTCATCACAACCATCTTAATTATCTCAGCAAGATTCTTTCATAATTTTAACACTCAAAACACAAAAAAAGATCACTTTGAGTGATTACTGTTACAGGTATGACGTGAATACCCAGGTGCAGTGAGAAACACAAAGACAAATGGATTTTGTCACAATCGTACTTTCACCAAACTAAACAATAGGAGACAATTCTGCAAAATACAAGATTTATTTGCATTGTATCTGAATATCAAAGTGCTGAATGAATATTTGGTTAAACGTTTCACAAGGAATTTTTATGAAATAGTCTCAATTTAATGCTGATAGATAACAAACAAGACCGTCAGTGAGAAGATTGGCTATTTCTATTTTGTTATTCTTAATGCCTGCCACAGGGTCGGATTTGGTTGGATTCCCTTTGAAATCAATTAAACGAGGTGGTAGAAACACTACAGCCCTTGTCCACAGTGGCCAGAATCAGCAAAAAAAATTCTTTCAAAGTTCCTTGTACAGGCTCTAAGTTTAGGCAACAAAAGTGACTTGAAAGCTCTTTGGCATCGTTAAAAAAAGACAGTATTACTTGTTAGTTTGACTGCTTTCTTAATACTTCATCTTCTTTTTGGGGTCTCAGAGAGACATGGTTAAATACATTGAATTTTTAGATGTTTTACAGTTGCCAGTACTATTTATACAGGATTAACCATCACAAAGATCTTAAATTAGTCTATTAGGATTATGAGAGAGAGAGAAGCTGACTTCTGAAGACTGACCACAGACATAAGAAATGTCACCTTCATCAAATGTGAAAGCCATGTTTATGGCAAAGGGAAGGATTATCACTTCAGTACTTTCCTACATATTTGTCAAAAGAAAAGGAAAAAGCTAATTGATTTTGCAATTATTGTTATTATGTCTTCCAGCAGTAAGCCATTCTCAACATAACACACGGGTTAACTCTTGCGGAGCTTTAGCTGTGCCTTTAGTTAAGCATGCTTGAGCAGCATTGTTAATCAAAGGCACTGTACATGGATGTCACTGTCTGTTGGAGGACAAGGCACAGACTCTTGCAAGAAGACGCATCATTCATGTTGCACTCTCTGAATGCTAGTATGATGGCCAAGTAAATACCAAGCCAACAGTAGAGGCTACAGACAATAGTAGAAATCAGGCAATTGAGCAGTGATTTGACACAGTCTCTGCCTGAGCTGTATTCTCACCTGAGGCAGAAACACAGCCAACTGGGATCCATGCTGTGTGCTCATTTTAAGGCCATGGACTGATGAAAGTGGGCAAGCCAGTTGCACTGGGACCAGAGGGGTCCTCTGGGAAGCAGAGGAATATGGTACTACAAGACTTAGAAGCTACACTGGTGGTCACAGTTTTCTAAGGAGACAACATGAAGGACAACATGAAGCTTTGCTTAGAAATCAGAAAGGACTAGGATTGTGAAAGACTTGCCTGTCTGACGCTGGTACCTTTGCAGCTTGTCTGCACATAAATATAGTTTGACTGAAGTGATCAGTTTAAATTAAATTAAACTCCACAAAGGTGTGACCAGATGTGCAAAGCGGATCCACACAGACTAAAGGCTGTTATTGCTGCCAAAGGTGCATCTTGTAAATACTCACTTGTAGGGGGTAAATATTTGTCACATATTGGAGAGCAACCTAGTACCTAGTAAAATTTCCATGTCACTTTTGAGGTTAAACATGCAGAGAGAAATGCACACCTTGTTCCCCCTTCTAAGATCACTTTAATTTATTTATTATCTAAATCATCTTCTCTTATGCACAAAGAAAATAAAATCAGTTTAATGAACTAAGAAACACTATAAAGGAGCCAATTTTAAGTTGTAAGAGGTGAATTCTCTCACAGATTTTCAGTGTTCATTCATGTGAGTGATGTGGATGAATAAATGAATATCCAGCAAAACACTTTATATACAGCATGTGAGCAAACAGGAAATGAACGACAGTAACAATTTATCATCTCGTCATATAATGCTTCTAAATCTAAAACAGGCAGCAAAATTCGCTCTTTAATAACATTAAACTGAAACTGATGTGAAAATTTACCCGTAGGTTCACTGTGAGAAGGGGAGGCAGGTGTCCCTCACTCTTAAAACGGTCATCAATGACAAAATAAGGTTTAAAATTCGCCTGAGATGCTTTTTCTTCCTCTGCTGCCTAAAGTTGTAAGGAACATTAACACAAAATACACCTTTATCTGAATGACAAAAAGAAAGAGGAAGCAATGTTTTTGTGATTACTTCACACAACTTTGTAGTGATCTGTTTTAACTCACATTAAAGAGTATTTTTCTTTTGACCAGTCTGAAAGCCACGTTAAATTTACTGTGATTCAGAAAGACATGTAAACTTCTAAGGTAGGTGAATACTTTTTTATAAGCACTGTATACTAATGTTTGATTAAAGATATCATATAACAATTTCATAGCCATTTAATTTTCTACGTTGTTAGCAATGTATATAAATATGTTTTGTCAAGTTGTATTATATCTTATTATATTTACATTTTTAAAGAAATGATAAACATGCACAAAATAAGTGAATAAACAAAATAAAATAAAACAGCAAGAAAGAATGAAATGCAGCAAACTATAAAATATAAGATTACCCAACTTTACTGTACTGATAATAACTTCAGTATGCTCAATAACAACGAAATAATGTGCTGGATCTCACAATATATAATAGAGAGAAAAATAAATGAAAAAATGAAAGAAAAAAGATTACATTCAAGGGTGAATATGCTTATTCTCAGGCTCTATCAGATGCTTACATTGAATTAATTAAGTGGATTTCTGTAGCGATAACTCCCATGTGTTTTTACCATTAATTTAATTTGTGGACGGAAGAATGATATTCAAATCCAAAGTAATCAAGCGAGTGTGAACAAGATGCAAGGGCAGACAAGCTTTCATATGCAATTCCTCTGACTCTTCATTAAATCCTGAACAATATGCTGGTCACAGAATGGACACCCACAAGAAACGCTCATTATTCTGAGGTTAATTCACTGCTGATAAAAGTTAGAGGATTTCAAGTTGACTGTGTTTCTGCGCCTAAAGCCAGAGTGAGAACATGGGATTTGGTTTGGTTTTGCTCTGGTCTGAATATGTCCATTCTTGTTACCCTTTGTTTCCTCGGATGTGTGTACCTTCCTGCTCTCCAGCCCAGTGAACAGCATAAATGATTGAAGGACCAGTGTATTTAGTTGTCAGCTGAGAAAGACATTTGGTACTGAACTTAGAGTTTCTGCATGGGTACTGACAGCATCGAGGTGCTTCCAACAGTGTTAGGGCACAAGAACAGCATGTAACCAGAACACACAAGAAAAAAAGGCAAAACCCCTGTCCTTATTCAGTTTGGAAATCTTGGAAAAAAGACTACCTGCCTTTTATCTAAAACAGTTGTAGGGAAAACTGCACCATAAACACACCACCTTTCTACCTTAAAACATGGCAGATACCCTAAGTCTTTACATAGCTCTTCTTCTTCTTCTCTGCACCCTCTATATATTATTGGATTACAATATGTGCTTGACTTATGACACAACATCACAGTAAAACAATAAATCAAATGTATTTTTTTGAGAGATAATCAATGTATAGCCATGAAATTTGAAATACTGAATAGCAGCTAAGTGTATGTTAAAGTCAGACAGTCAAAGAAAGTTGCATTGTTATGCAAATTATACAAGTTTATATATCAGTCAAACACAAGGTTCTTTACAAAATAGTTACTCCAAATGAATCACTAGCTTGAGGGGACATGTTTTTTTGGCTAAAATCTGTGCGAAAACCCAACCAGCAAGACTAGTTTAAAAAAAATTAATGAATACCCAACATGTGGACATTTATAGCTGAAACACATTGCAGAGTAAGTGAGAGTAAGTAAGTGTTATTGACTCACCTTTTTGTTGATTGATGACGTTGAAAGGTTTGGTCTCTTTCAGTGATTAATACTTAACAGGGTCTAGGGTTTACTCTCCATTAGAAAGATCTGCACAGTTCAACCCTTATTAAACCAAACCAATGGGGATCTGCATCTTGAAAAAACTAAATCTGGCGATAATGCATTATTGTACAGTAATTGTGTTCATGTGAAATGTTAACTTGCAATGTCATTCATGGTTGAATAAGTTTAAAAATAAGTATAACTCTAATGACAATCAGAGGATATATTTCAGGTATAGATATTTTCAGATATATTTAAGGTTATTTTTTTGTCCAGGGCGATTTTAAATTGGAAAACTTATCGGTTGAAATGTGCAATAGATGGGGTGTGAACACTATTGTATGATGAGTGGTTGTTGGTTCATGTTTTACCTGCATTGTTGATGTGGAGAGAAAGTTGTATACACAAAATACTGTGACTAAATGTGCTCGACAGCCAGATTAATGGCTTTTTGCTGCTTTTTATAAGACTGGATCATCATTTGGATATATATATTTTATCTTTCATCAGCATTTCCTAGTCCAGGACATGGTTTCCTGAGCAGCCCTACCACCTACACACCACAAAGGGGAAAACCAGTCACTCCTGGGCCATGACTGCTCTGCTACCCAACTTCAGTGTCCCTGAGAGTACAGCAGTTCTGCTGCCGACTACAGACTCTCCGTTTAACCTGACAGCAGCTGCTCTGGCAGGACTTGGTTCAGGCCAGTCACTGGCCCCTCTCTGCACACATTGTTGCTGTGGATTTCTCAATCGCACCTTGGCAGTGATTTTCATGGTCAGCCTGGCATTTGCCATTGTGGTTGGAAATGTTGTCACCCTTACTGTCTTTGTGCAAACGAGGCAGTCCCGAACACCACAGGGATACCTGAAAGGTAAATGTTGCTCACCTTCTCATGACTAAATGCTTATTGGTGAAAGTGCCTTGTCAAATTTAAATCGTCCCTATATTGCACTGACAAGATATGATCATAATTTCATTCATCACACTTTTTTATTCCAAAACACCTAGTTTATTTAATACAATCCAAGTAAAATGTTTCTTCTCAACCGTTAAAAAATATTTGTAACACGAATATGTGCTTTTTCATTTTATAATACATTTTAACTAAAGTGTACTGATAAGAAAACAGTCTGGATGTGTCCCCTTAGCTCACTTTGTATTGTTTCTCTCTGACAGTCTCTCTGGCCATAGCAGACATGATGGTCGGTGTCCTTGTGGTCCCTTTCTCTGTCTACACCGAGATCTCTCTGATGGTGACCAGCACTCCTCCAATTTGGTACCAGGGTAGTTCTACTTCCCCAGCCACCTCCTCTTCTCTTGGAGGACTAGTTAGCCCTTGGCAGCCCTGCATGCTGATTGGCCCAGTGTTCGCTGGATGCACTTTTGTCTCTATCAGCACCATCTTCCTCATGACACTGGAGCGAAGTGTGGCCATCCTACGGCCACTCCACAAGGACGCCTTGGTGACCCGGAGACGTACTCTGCTCCTCATCCTGCTCTCCTGGGCCGCCAGCTTCCTGCTGGCTCTCGCACCACTCATCTTCAGCAGCAACTTCACTTTGGAGTACAATGAGTGCAGTCGTATGTGCAACTACACCCCACTATTGTTTGGAAGCCAGCTGCCACCTGATGCCAACATTTTGCTGTCGTTCCCAGCATTTGACTTCACATTGCTCGGTGGCACGTTGGCAGTTAACATTGTGTCTTTTACTAGCATCCGACGGTACACCCGAAAACGCAAACTGCTCTCTGAGGGGAGTCTGACTGACGGAGGGGGAGGAGGAGGAGGGGGAGGGTGCCCTCACAGGCCCTCCTTTTCAGACATCAAAGCTGCCAAGACAATTGGCATACTAACATTTGCCTTCACAGCATCCTTCACTCCCATCGCAGTGTTTGTGCTTGGGAACGTGGTGGGATACACCTGGTGTAACTTTTCCTTTTTTGCCTTCTGGATTCTGACAGGAAACAGTTGCTGTAATGTAATTATCTACAGTGTCAGGGACCACCGCTTCAGGAAGGGTGTGACCCTGCTTTTCCAACGAGAACAGTCCCCCCCACATGGCGAGAAGACCTGAGGGATACATGAATTCAAATGCAGCAAGCATATGTTTTGTGGATGCTTTCCAGTAAATTTGATTTTACTCTCTTACCAAGACGATAGATGCCTCTTCTGTACGGCAAATATGAAGCTGGAGCCAGAGGCTGGTTAGCTTACCTTAGCATAAAGACTAGAAATAGGGGGAAACAGCTTGCCTAGCCCTATAGACCAAAGGTAACAAAATACGCCAACTAGCACTTCTAAAGCTCTCTATTTAAAGAGTGTAAAACTCGGTTTTACAGGAGGTTATGTGCCAGAGTTCCATTCTTTATGTTAAGCTGTTTCCTGGCTCAAGCTTCATATTCACCGTAAATTAATGATAGTGGTATCAAACTTTCAGCAACAAAGCAAATAAGTGCATGTCCCAAAGAATTTCTTTAATTCAAATGTAAACTACAAACATAAAAGGGTTGAACATTTTTGTTACTGAGAATTGTAAATGGAAGCCAAATGTCAGAATTTTGGCCTCCCTCCACATTTGTCTTTCGACAAACAAACCTATATCTATGCATTGCATGCTAAAACTGTTTTCAGGACTGGACCAAACACACATACTGTAGGTTTTGAGGAGAAAAGGGCCATTCGATTGCCCCACCAATCCACATCTTCTGCTCTGGTGTCCTTGTCTCGCCTTCCTCATCGTCAAACTTCTTTCCTGAATCTTCATCAGGGGGCTTTTTATGAGCCTTTCAACAAATTCAGGAACCAAACCTACTGTATCTCCAGGAACTGCACTGACAACCACAATAACCACTTTTTTATATCATAAATGGGTTTATCATCTGTTGATTTTATGTGTTCAGAAATCAAGTTTTTTGGCAAAGGGAAAAGTTCTTACCATTGATTTGATTCTGTGGGATTTATTTTTGAGCATCTAATTTCAATCTATTGTGATAAGTAATCTGCCTCAAGTATCCTAAATGCACTTTATCAGTTACTACATGAGTCATTTGCATTGTGTCATACAATGTTAATTTTGTTGTAAGTTTTATTTTTTAGCGTTTTATAATATTTGTTTATTTTTGTCTAAGCTAATGTGAATTGAAAGAATGATCTGTATATTTATTAATTCAGTATAGACTAAATGAATGGGATGCCAACCACAGAGATTTAGTATAAAAAGATTATAGCAGACCCTCATACTGTGCCGGATCTATCCTTCTATCCGGATCTATCTTTTCAGGGTATAATGTATTTGTAACATGAAATGATCTCATCTGTGTGTCAGCTATAAGTCTTGTGTATTGTTTGGAATTCTGTATTGTACAATTTGACAATGTAATTACATATAAATGAGGTAAAAGAGCATTTTACAGCTTAAAACGATTATATATCCATTCATTTTAAAATGGTTGCATTTCATAACTGACAGGCCTTTGATGTGGTAACAATTCAGGAAGAGAATCGATAAAAAAGAGGAAACTAAACAACACAATAAAGAGGGTGTTTTTCTTGGCATTTATTGCTCTAAAATTATTCTTATAGTTCAACTGACATGTAGTTAGTAAAAAGACATTTTGTCCTGTTTACCATGAAGTGCCCATTAAAGGTCCAGTGTGTGAGATTTAGTGATCTATTTGCAGAAATACAATAGTCATAAATATGTTTTCATTAGTGTATAATCACCTGAAAATGTTTTTTCGTTACCTCAAAATTAGACATTTTTTATCGACAGAGGCAGCGAGTCCATCATTGAATCATCAGTTTAAACCAAACTGACCAAAAACCAAAAACCGTAGGTTCTCTTGGCCCTTTGCTGCGTGCCATCCCCTCTCTCTACCCCTGTCTGTCTTCAGCTGTCACTATCATAAAGGCAATAAAAAGCCCAAAAAAATGTACTTAAAAAAAAAAAACTTAGGTTCTCCTACACACTTGGAAGGGGAGGTGGAGGGGTTATCATTAACCCTAACCCAACCTCACTACTACATGCCATTAAATCCTACACACTGGTCCTTTAAAGGACTAGTGCAACATTTTGAAAAATTTGCTTATTTTTGAGATGAGAAGGTCGATAACACTGGCATTTCTAGCCAAAGCTGGATGGTTGCCCCTGTTTCCTGTCTTTGTGCTAAGCTTAGCTAACCATCTCCTGATTGCAGCTTCATATTTACCATACAAACGCAAAAGTGGTATGAATCTCCTCATCCAACTCTGAGCAAGAATGTGAATAAGCGTATTTCCCAAAATGTCAAACTATTCCTTTAAAGCCAGCTGATCGACAATCCAGTGCATGTTCATGGAAGCATTTTTTTAATGTTAAGGGTGCTGTGATGTGCTACAAGTTGACCCAAAAACAAACATCAGGGAATTTAACGGTCAACAAAAAGAAATGAAATACAATATGTTAACATGTGCAAACTTCACTGAATGAATGAATATTTTACATGTACAAACTTACAGGCATTTTCTGTTTTCCAGCAAAAACTGTCATTATTTTTCTAGTTTAAAAAATTTGGAAAAGTTTGTAATCTACAGCAGCCTAATCATTGTTGGTTCTGTGTAAGAAAACAAGTGATTATTATTGTGCTGATATTGAATCACTGTACAGAGTTGTATCAGTAGTGCATAATCCATCAATGGTGATTTCATCAGATTTGGTAAAAATAAATGTATTTGGGAACATTTCATTTGTGAATTTAATGGGGTTCGGTGTGACAGTAATGCACTCAGCTCTCTGCTGTAATATTCACAGCCTCAGCAGTTGCACAAACTGTTAGAAAACCACATTAGCATGTCTCCATGTTCTCTGGAGTATTATTGGCTTGATCCCACAGGTACAAATTTGTCATGTTATGTAATGTGGAGAAAGAGCTGCAGTAACACCGCAGGATACCTGGATACCCAGCATGAGGGAATCTTTGATAGTGTGCAGGTAAGAAAGCAGAGTGAGGTCTCACCTCTCCGCTCAAATAACTAAAATAGCACATCTTAAAAGCCTAAAGACACAAAAGAGATCTCGACACCTAGTGACCCAAATAGTAATTTGAGCAGTGTGTGGCACAGATGAGAAAATCATTTGTATTTCTTAATTTGCTCTGTTAGAGTGTGATCTTGCAATTTGAGAAGACATTGGACATTGTCACATGGAAGAGGGTGAATGGAAGGCTGATGGGTAATGTTAGCAGCGATGTGATAAAAGCGCACTCCAACGTCCAGTCCCACCATGAAATAAATGATCTGACACTTGCCTGCTCATGTGACCGAGAGCAAGAATGAGAAACAAGAGATTGTCAGAGAGAGAGACAGAGCAGGGAGAGTGACAGAAACAATGAAAAATATAGATTAAATCATAGATCCTTGTATGAATTTATATGAGTCATATATACACCATATTAAGAATTACTGCATATTCATCTGAACAGCCTGATTTTCATTTGCAGTACAGACTCAGTACACTCATACATACATGAATCAGAACATTAAGCCCTTATACTGAAAGTCAGTTGCTGCAGGGAGGTGGCAACTTCTAACTTTGTTAGCGCCAATGTCTCATTTATGAATGTGACACAATAATAAACAAACGTTTGTCTGCCTACCTTGTGCATCATCCATCTGCAATAATGCCACCAGGCCTAAACTTTTCCCATACTGGACCAGCTTTTATATTGTAACACTGGCTTTTCAGCAAATTCCAAATTCACTTCACAGTCCTTGTCATCACTTCCTGAGCTTGGAATAGTCAGCTTCATAGTTACATTACTAAATTTGCTGCAGCGAGGTGGCAACTTTCCAACATATCTTTTAAACTGACCACATGCATGTCTAGGGATTTGTGTTAAAGCATTAAAGTCCCTTTGTAGTTCTTATATTGTCTTTCTAACAGCTTGACAGGTTATAAAAAATGTTTTAAGCTGCATTTGTCTCACAAAGGCAGCAATTCAAATTACAAAGATAATGAAGCAACGTCTGACATGCTTGTGATGTTTGGTTTCACATCCTACATGATCTTCATGGTTCCTCTGAACAGGGCCTTTTGGATTTACCTTTTTCCAGGCTGAGGTCAAGGTGATTGCAACCCTATATCCTAAAAATGATGTTTATATACTGCTAATTTGCAACAG